AAAAAAAAAAAAAAAAAAAAATCTATATATCTCTCTCTCTATATATATATAAACATCACTAGATTTTGCAGAGAGGTATAACCTGATCTCTGAACATGACTGTTTCTACACAGAAAAAGTTCAAAGATTACTACAAACATTGAGGACTAGTTATGGGAGAATCAACTCGTACTTTTTTTTTTTTTTGAGCTGGTATCTCACGCTGTCACCTAGGCTGGAGTGCAATGGCACAATCACAGCTCACTGCAGCCTCGACCTCCTGAGCTCAGGTGATTCTTCTGCCTCAGTCTCCTGAGTAGCTGGGACTACAGACACACACCACCATGCCCAGCTAATTATTTTATTTTATTTTTTTGTAAAGATGAGATCTTGTTATGTTGCCTAGAACTCCTGGACTCATTCAATCCTCCCGCCTTGGCCTCTCAAAGTGTTGGGATTATAGGTGTGAGCCACCACACCCAGCCTCAATTTTTCTTAACTTTAGAAAATGAAACTAACATCCAATAATTCATGTCAAAGTTAAAACTGGTTTAAAGTACCTAAAACACTGCTATTGAACATGAAAATATTGGGGGTATGTACTTAAGTATTTGTCTAAATATATGTCAGCTAGAATCCTTTCTCAGGAGCTATGTTGACTTACTTTCCCAAGACAGGACTGAGATCTTTTAAGTCTTCCAGTGATGGCTTCTGGTCCAGAAGCTTCTTAAACAGTGCCAGTGGGAAAGGGACGTTGGCAATATTGAAATTGAACAGGGAAAGTCCACACAGAACTCCAAAGAAGAAATATCTCTTCTTCTCAAATTTAGGCTAAAAGTAGAAAAAAAAATCTTAAAGTATTATGAGTTTTTATCAGTACAATGAAATATTTATATTAAACAAAACTGTTTCCCTCTTTCAAAAAATCAAATCTCAAATTAAATTTTAAAAAGTCTGAGATAAGAATATTCAGTGTTTTTTTGTTTTAGTTTCCTTTCTTATTTTGAGTTGGCGTCTCTGTCACCAAAGCTAGAGTGCAGGAGTATGATCACAGCTCACTACAGCCTTTGACCTCCTGGGCTCAGGCAATCCTTCTGCCTCAGCCTCCTGAGTAAAAGGGACTGACTATAGGTGTATACCACCACGCCTGTCTAATTTAAAAAAAAAATTTTTTTTTTAAGAGATGAGGTCTCGCTATGTGCCTAGGTTGGTCTCAAACTCCTGGGCTCAAGCAATCCTCCCATATTGGCCTCTCAAAGTGCTGGGATTATAAGCATGAGCCACCACACCCAGCCTATTTAGGGTTTATATCCAGTCATTAAGTCAATTTAAATCCTTGTCAGCTGGGCTTGGTGGCTCAGCCTGTAATCCTGCACTTTGGGAGGCTGAGGTGAGTGGAT